ATTGCTTTCATAACAATGAAATATTTCAGCATAATGCCAGTAATGCATTACTGGAAGTTAGACTAGATAACTTCCACGGGTACTTTTCAACTAACAATTCTATGATTCTGCAATTTGACTACAAGATGAATTGCCTGTAATACAGCAAGTCCTATAAATAATGATATCATGAGGATACAAACTACAATATGCTATGATGCAATACAGAAGTAGAATGACAGATATTTAAACAAGGTAACAAAGATTTTAAAATAATTTTCACTTCACTGAAATTAAATTCAGCCAAAGCACAACACTTCAACTTCCACAGCGCGAGAAGACTGCCCATTGCAGAGCGCTGGAACACCACACAGCTATGCTAAAAACTGCAGGTGTGGGGACTAAGTGACAATAAACTAACTACAACCGAAAACTGATCTGCAAGGGGATCACATCTGACACTTTCACATGTTAAAAAAAAACAACAACATGGAAACGACACTGGCCAAAAAGGTTGCTAGGGATTGTCCAGGTACAAGTAGAGGCATAAATGCAAAAGGAGATATGATAGTCTATATAATCTGATGAAAAATGAGTAACTTACCTAGTGCACAATGTTAATGACTGTCCAGGTTCCACAAAAGTGAAAAATAGATTCATTTAGTTTAAGTCTCACACATCGGCTAGTGTTCTGTCCTACAGTACTGCAATCTATTGTTTAATTCTAGGTTAAAACGAAGTAATCTAAATATGCACTCTGTTATATAAAAGGGCTAGAGGATGAAATTACATCAGTTTCTAATAAGGCGCTTTGAAACCCTAAACTAACAAGGTAGCAGCCAAATTATTTTTTGCCCACTAATACAGATTGAGCAGCAAACAAGAAGGAGGTGAAAATAAAATAAAAAGCCTAAAACTTCTGTAGTTCTCCAAAGCCTACGGTTCTTTGCTATAGCAGGACACAACAGAACGCTAAACGTTTTATCATGTTATTAAAAATCTCCAAAAGCAGTCTTACGAGACCTTCTTCAATGTAAGGTTCTTCCAATGCAAGATCTGTAAAGTTTCCTTCTCTCTCATTGCAAAATCAAATAAAAGAAATTTTAACATGCATCTTTTGGAAGAGTATTTTTAGTTAATATGTAGCAAAAATCAGAGTATTTATTTTGAAGACAGGCAATAATAAAGTAAAATCTGATGTGCTTCATTTTATCTCCTACTTTTGTTTATATGTTGCATATAAAAGCTATGGCATCTGCAATTATTAATACCACATTTTTCTGTCTGTAAAACCAACTTAGGTGGTTTTAATTATACTTTTACTTTACAAATAGCAGCCTGTACATGGTGACATGGTCACACCAGAATATAAAAAAGGACCATTTGTTTATTTTCCTCTGTGAAATACATGTCTTACTATTCTCCTTCTTTTCTTCCAGGATATTCTTAAACTGAACTTATTATCAATGAACAGCAAACTTCTCTCCTGTACACGAACGTACAAGCGTATTCTGGACTGGGAAAGACAATGAGAGTCCTGAACTCTTTAGGAATCATCCCAGAGGTTAGGTGCCAGAGGTAAAGCACTACCTACACACCCCAGCCCAGCCTACTCCACATTGCCTGCCAGAACCCAGCTAGAACTGAAGTGCAACTGCAGTGCATCTGATGGGTTCCAGTTTTTCTCTGTGTGAGGTAGCAACTTCCATCATTCTCCTGCTGATGCTCAAACTACAGCTATTTATTTACAAAGATGTGTGTAAAGACAGGAAACCTGAAGTATGGTAAACCCTACTTTGATTCAGATTCTGTTTTGATCACTGTATAATCTTAAGACTAGATTCCCCCACCTCTGCTGCATGGAACTGGGGGTGAGAAGGCAAAGGAAAGCAAGCAGGACAGATTTGTCAGAATGGTGGCTCTACACAGTATGAAGAGAAGACTGCAAGTAAGGAGTTCATATAACCTTCTGGTCACTCATTGCATAAGGATTTGAAATGTAGCAGGGGCCACAAATTTACAACAAATAAAAATAGGAAAAATAAATAAATTAGTGACATAATACAATAAACAGTGTATGTATTACAGCTAATCAAACAGGCATCTCAGAAAACACAGCAGCTGCTCATTTCAGTCAAACGCAATTCCTCCAGAGGCCCAGAGAACAGGGGTGCACTTACATTTCCGAAGCAGCACGTGGCCATGCAGTCACTACCCTGGGACTAAGACGGAAGAATTTATTTTTCAAACAATAGCAGGGATGGTGTGAAATTGCTCATATTTACGATCATATGAGTTTCACCTGACTGCGAAATAGTTTAGGGATGGGAATCATAGAAACAATCACTTAGTAGTTTATTTTAAAAGAAGACAGAATAAACAGCAAAATTTGAGTTAGAACAGTATTAGTGATCTCAAAATTATGGAAAAGGCTGTCAGAATAAAAGCTACACTGTAGTCCACTATCCTTCAGGAGGACTACCTGCTTGCAGAAATGAGCATTATTTATTTTCTTAAATACAGAACTCAAAAATTATCCCTGTTATTTAACTAACCCAAATAGCTGCGCCTGGCCTCTCTTCCCGAGGATGAAAGGTTCTCATTGACTGTTCAGGAAAATGAATTCAAAAAAGGAATCTCTCTATTCAGAAAACCCAACTGTCCATCAAACACATAATCCAACAGCAAGCACTTTCTAAACTATCTCAGCTGCAGAGACAGCCAATCTTTCAAATAACCAAGGACTAGAATATTCAGGGCAAGATGACAGCACCAGTTTAACACAGGTCTTGCATTCAAACTTACTCACACAATCTAATATGTTTTCAGTAAAGGCCAGATTATTAGGCTCCTAGAATTTCTATCACGTAAATCTTATGCACCTAGCTCACAGAGTGAAATCCTGAAGCTGAAGTTAAATACTTATACCCCCTGAAACCTGTGAAGAACCAGAAGTCCTGCATGATGAGCAGGACTGCCTAGAGCAGTACAGAACACCAGTATAGCACAAGCAGAAGAGGCAGAGGATATACATCTGATACTTTCCTTGATACAGCTTGAACCACCAAAGCCTGTGATAGAGAACACCTCTTTCTACCTGCGGTCTCTAGCCCAGAATCCTGCCTTGTGGCTTCTAAAGAACCAAGCTAGAATCACTATTTTCTTTTTTAAAACTTGTCTCGGAGTAGAGTTTAACCATGATAAAACACTGAAGAGGCTCTTGAAGCAGGTTCAGTATCTGCTCTAGGTTCAAACCACAGATCTATTTCCCAGGATAGCGTCTAGTATTTCTATGCTAGATCTGAGTCTGGGTGCATACTTAGGACAGAAGGAGTGATGAAACGGGACTCTTCCCATCCATTACACTTAGGCTCTGCCACTGTTCACCAAAAAGGTAGAAGAATAAACTCTTGCCTTGAATCACTGTCACCCTGTGACACTAATAGTAGCGTAAGGGCAAAAAATTCTTTCTCCGCACACAAGTATCACAGTGTAACAACTTTCACCTCAGTTTGTAATCTGCAAGAACACTTTCACATATTAGCACAAAGGCATGGAATAACTATGAAAAATACTACAGAAATTAGGTAATAAAACGGCTATTGAAGTATGCATTTGTCAGGCCTCCAATGCTGCAAAAACATCTCAACTACTATGCAAAACGTATTTTTGCACTAAGCTAAACTGGCTCATCTACTTCCTATTAATAACCGTACTATGTATACTGCACAAAATAATTCTTTCACATGCTAAGAGACAAGAACTTCTGCTTAATCTTTTATGACCTTTATAAAACTTTATTGAATTATGAAGCCATGTAGCTCTTACATGCTCTAAAGTTTTGGTTGGGAACAGTTTAAATGCATAAATAAACGCAGCTGTCCCAAGTAGTGTCACCATGATGACTTAAGATGCTGTTATGAGCTTCCAGTTCCATTCCACGCTAAATCAGCAGTAAAACTGTACTGCAAGATAAAGTCTCAGATATGAGATACCCATTCAGGAGCAAAGCAATCCTTATTTTTAAAAAAATAAAAAAAAAATAGACATTTTAAAATGTCTCTTTCCAGAAATTTCTCTCTCATTTTTAAAATACCTTTCTCAGTTCCTTGCACTTGTGTTACCTACAAAAGTCTCTGCTGTAAAAATATATGACAATTAATTTATTATATGGAGAATCTCTTTCAATATATCAGAAATATAAATATGAAATCCCTTTATTGATCTTTAATACACTGATCCCAAGCTGAGACTCATGGGCAACACGCTGCTTACAAAACCCTCCAATACTGTGACCACAAGAAATTAAAAGTGTTAAAAATGAAACCAATACTTTGGATGGCAGGCCCCCAGTCAATTTTAAGTTTGACCAGAACACGTTACTTCCTCAGAACTGAAGTTCCTCAGAAGTTTTGCCTGAAGGCTAAAGAAGCTTGGAGACTGCATCCTTAAAGGAAATGAAAAATCAGAAAGGAAAAGGAGAAGAAACGTCTGCCCTATTTTCCCCTGCTATTCCACCAATGACAAGGGGAATCTCCATCAGATACAGGAGAGGGGGATATACTCCCAATTCTCATAAATCTCTTGAAATCTAAGAAAGTCCTAAAAGAATTAATTTAAGTCATCTGCAACAGTCTAATCATCTGAAAGTTCTTGTTCATGTTTTCAGTAACACTTGCTTTGGCAAAACTGCCTGGCCACAATGGATACGTATTTTGATAAAACTACTTGAACAAGACATATCACTGCACACTGTTTTAACATTTTATTCTTCCAGTGTACCTCAATTATATCCATCAGCACTCCTACAATTTAAGTTCTGCCAAATCCTATGTAACTATGATCTTTAATATTCAGTAGGTAAAAGTTAAGTTTAAAAACCACGCGTGAACTAAGATTTGAATCGAGAAGTTCAGAAGCTCTCCCAATATCTAAGTCTCAAATCTAAAGTAAAATCTCTTCAAACACAATTTGAACATAATTCAATTTACTTCATAAAGTTTAGCAACACTGGTACTTACTGACTGTTCACTTAGATCCTGAGAGTCTTCCATGGAGGTTACTCACTCTTCCTTTCCCCCACAAACAGAAATTATCTTATCTTCAAAATATATAGCTCAGTGGTCTAAATTAAGAAGGAGAAAAAAATTAAAATGTGTTAGTCTGTGGTCCTGACTTCTAAGGCAAATCCACGATAAACAAACACCTTAATTGAGGGTCTGCTTCCACTGAAATCAGCAGCAAAGTTCCCATTGACTTCTGTGAAGCCTAACACATAAAGCGTTTCAACATAATCACTACTATTTTGGGAAGCTATCTAAAACATAGAAACAGAAACACATTTAGATAATAATTCTTCAACTTCTACAAGAAAAAAAAAATTAAGAAAACAAAGAAATAGGAAAGTGAAAACGTTTAACACGGGCAGCTATTTAGGCAGATAGCAAAAGATAACTCTTGGAAGAACATGTTAGAAAGATGATTGCGGAATACAGAACAAAGATGCTTAATATGCATTTAATGATAACCTCTTTAGTCATTAAGTGTCTGTCAGAAAAAGGTTATTATGCAATTATCAGCATGAAGTCCCCTCTCTAAAGTCCATTAAATAAAATACACAAAGTGGTTTAAAACAAGCAACTCCCTGCTAAATGACAGACATTATCCTAATCATCTACGATGCATATGCCTTCTCCCATAGAGTGAACCACTCTCATCAAATACTTGAGATCTTAAATATGAAAATTTTATCTTCTAAAAGATCTGCCTAGTAATGATTATGGTAATCTTGGCTATAAGACCACAGCTATACCACAGTCTGTGCTCCTAGGAAAGATCTGCTTGAGAGTTGTGAGCAAATCTGAGTAATTTAAAATACAACAAGTGCCAGGGATATTTCATATAGCAATAATCATAACATGATAAATCAAAACTAGTGTTACATTTAAAAGAAACTGAAATATATAACAGTACGCAAACGCGTAAGTTAAGGCACTCAGACAACCTAAATTTACCTGGATTTGTTTATCAGCAAGGTACCTGAAGAAAATATTGCCTAGGAATACTCCCACTAACAACAAACATATTATGTATCTATCTTTAACTTTTATTTTAAATGTTAATTAGTAACCTCTTATATGTTACACTATCTTAAACCTCCATAAAAGTAACAATTACTTATCTGAGGTTAAACAATTTATTAACAACGAATTATTACAATTAACAATTTATTTAAACAATTGTTTGCATTCACCAAAGCACGTAAAAAAAGGAACTGGAGCTATGAACCATTCCACCCCTATATCCCCATGCACCACCCTACTTTTTCCTGTGAATACCTCCTCTGTTACCACAAAGAGCCACCTACCTGCCATACCTCCACTTACTGCCCAATTCGAAAATCCCAAAATTGCCTTGCATTTTGCATTAGGCATTTCCCAGAACATACACACATAAAAACTTACAGCCCCAATCTACTTTCTTTCTTGTTTCTATTTCCTCTCTTTCATGCCCCTAAGATTATCCCTTCCTGTTTTCCTCCCCTCTTCTCTAAGTTTCAAAAAGATATTTATTAGCATTTCATTAATGTTGCCATCATTTTACATTAGGAAAAGACCAACTGCAAGCAGCTCCTATTGCATGTATTTCACCTTAACAGAAAACCATACAAAACTCCTGTCTTTCAAAATGCCTTCAGATTCCTCTTGATTTTAAAAAGTTTCAAGCCACTGATGTCTTCACCCAGGATGGCTTCACCAAAATAGTTACCATCTCCCGAAGTGTGGGGTCAGTGCGGAGCCAGCACCCTTATATTTTTAAAAATTGTCTGCAATCTTTTGTCCAACTGAGACAAAAGGGGAATTGAAAGCCTTCTTTAAAAGTCAACTTAATATAGGTAAATTTAAGACAGGAGACTACTGAGAACAATGGATATTTTGAAAGAAAGCAGCTCTACACGGAATTTCCTGTAGCAGGTCATTATTCATCAGCCCCTGCCAAAGAAGGTAATTCCAAACATAAAGGTGAATTTTCACAAAAGGAGAACTGATCTTACAATATTCCATAAATAATATAAATACAAAATTTGTTTTAATTTAATTAAGAGTCTGAAATGTGTGCATGCTATATTGCATTAGTAAGACTACCTTTGGAAAGAAATGGCCAAGCACACAACAATAAAATACAAGATTCAGCATAAATTGTTTGACTAGTTTCTAAGTTTACTGAGTGAAAGTCAATACCTGCTTTGCATTCAAACAGTAAATGCTCTAATTCTGAATGCCGATAACGGAAAGCGGCCGAACCCTCACTTTCTGTTTGAAGCTCTACCATTACTTAATTATGGAACCATATCACAACAGATAGGCCCATATTCATGTTTCTTTCCTTATTAATCATGGACTTAATCAAAGCCCACTGTAATCAACGGATAGATGTGACATTTTTTCTTTAAAAAAATGAATTTCTCAGTATTTTAAGTAAGTCTAACAGGAGTTTTACTGTTGAGAATAGCCTGTTTTTCACCCACAGTGTGTGTGTGGTTGTACATCCTAAAACTTCAGATGCAAATGGCGTATTTTCACGCTGTCACCATTAACAAACAAACAAATGCCAGACAACTCCATGTATCAAGAAAAGATCCTGGTTGATTCAGTCCCTGAGGATGACTCAAGTAAAACACATACACTGGAATGTACTGTTAAATACGCCACTTGTATTAGTCATCTTTAAATATGACTGAGCTTCCATAGCTTTTAAATTTACTTTACTGAATTGCAAGACAAGCCTGTTTTAATCTTTGCACAAATGTACAATCTGTTAAATGTAGCTTTTGCACAAATACGCTATATTATAATAGTTTCAGTAGGGCTCTCTTGTTCATCCTTATGTTGTCTCAAAATTCAAATAGTCTATTACTGAAAGTGAAGCTTTTTAAAAATAAAATTCTGAATTAATGTCCTTTCAATATTCTATCTATCTAATGCTTTAAGAGATCATCGGCTAAATCCTGCTGCATTTTGAGCCTAGTTAAAGCTGCTGATTATAACCAATCGCTAACACAATGATTTTTATAATGGCAGTTATGCCAATTGCACTTAGACCAAATCCTTTAGGGTTTAGTTTTATAAATTTGTAAAAGAGGAGAAAAACCATTAGAGAAGTCAGTGATTTAAATAAGACCAACATTACTCCCTAATAAAGATATAAAATTAAAGGATAATAGTAACCTCGTGCTGTTTTATGAGGCAATAATCCAGTTGCCAATTCAACCTTGTAGTTTATCCCATCTAGAGAACTAGATTAAAAACAGAGGGAGGGAGGGCACTTTTATCCCTATTATATTGGAAGTGTTTCTAACTGCTTCTAACTATTTTTAAAACTGTTGTTAAAAGCCTTACCTCACAGACAAGTCAGAATGAAGAAAAAAGTCTGTTTCTGCTCTTGATCCAGTCCTTGCAGATGTGGCTTTAAAACTGATGAAGTGTTTTATGCTCTAAGATAAAAATTTTACCTTTCTAAGAAATGTCTTAATTAGGAGGAATCCTGACGTTCCTCATCAGCAAACACACTTAAATATAATTATTTATTTATTTATTTTTATCTGAGAGAATAAAACACTTCATCAAGTTTAAACTGCAACTTCCAGGACTTGACCATGAGGAGAAACATGTGGGGTTTTTTCCCAGAGATACACCCATAAGTTAAAAAACTAAAAAACCCACCTTCTTCTGCTCACTGATTTGGAAATACACATTTGAATGAAAATGTAAGACAGCAAGGATATGATCTCTCCCATAACAATGATTCCTCCAGTCTTTTATTCAGCAGAAAGTTAGCATTGCAAAAAATGAAAAATTGACCAAGGTATTTTCATTTCATATGAAATGTTTCGAAAGAATTTGTGTTGCAGCTCTCACAAGCTCAGAACAGAATGTGAAGCTTGAGAATTCACAGGTTAAAAAAAAAAAAAAATCTTAAAACACTTGAAGTTTCCCAAGAGTATTTCAAAGTCTGCTTCAGGCCCTGAAGTCAGCCAGATGGAGATCCAAAAAGAATCTGTCATCTGGAAGAGCAGTCTGGCCATCAGACAAAAATTTTCCTCCTTTTCACTTCAATCCAGAAATTTAGGAAGAGAGTCTTCTCCTAGGCCACTCTTGTTAAATTAAATTATTGGGGGGGGAGGGGGGCAGGTCTCTTCACTTTCTACAATAACAATTCTTTTCAATTATAGTCTCCTTAGGGATATAGTCAGGTTCTTTTTATTATTTTTAAACTGCAGAACACCTACTGAGGTTACCTTCAGTGATACTCCGGAAATAAGTCTTGGTTGTAGACCAAAGGAGCTACAGAATCCCAGTCAAGTTTACTGCAATGTTGTTACATTATAATATATGCCTATAGTAAGACTAGAGAATAGAGAGAATGGTGCTGTGGTTAACACAATTAATTCAAAGCTACAAAGAAAAATTCATTTCTGTCATGGCCACAGACTGATAGAGAGTCAAAATTTTGATTTAAGTGACAAGTGGTCACAAATAGAGCAGTATCTAATTTTCTAGTGCTCTACTTCAGAAACCTGTGATAGTAGAAGTACTTAGTGCTTAGAACTGCAGCTAAAGACATGCAGCATGTCCCACAGTAAGGTGCCATTATGTGAACAAATAAGCACAGCCTCAAGGGTCTGAATTCTCAGTCTTAGGAAAGCCTCTGTCTGCCTTTTGCACCTTTCCTACAGAACATTTGCGTTAAATACATGGCACTACGAAAGGCTATGCAAGGAAGGTAATGAGAAAATGAGCTGTTCTACAATCAGTGCAGGCAACTGTGGCGCATATACATTGCAATCTCACTAAATTAGAGGATTTTGTGCTAGTTTTTTCCCCATGAAACTCATTTCTTTGAAGGAACAGGAGAGAAGGTGCAGGCAATAATAGGCATTGCCTGACTTTCAAGCATTTGCTTTGCTACTTAGGAAAACATTCTTTCACTCAGTTCTCTGCATGTAAATCACCTATAATCTGATATGAAAAAAGCTAAAAGGAAAACAAATCCTGATTTACTAGAATTTTAATTTACTTTATAAGTATAGCTGAAACACATATTTGTGACAGTAAAAATCACGGC